TGATTTTGACTATTATATTATTAAAAATGCTTTATACATAATTAGGGGTTAATTTAGAAATATCATTCAAGAAATACTGATTTCTTTTACATTCCATTTATTCGATACGTCGGCGTTATATGCGGCTTGTTTAATTGAATTTATACTAGGCGACACACCCTTGGATGACTTATTTCTTAAACTTAATTTCAACACATAGGCCTCTTTTTTTATAACTGTTGTTACTAAATTATGCAATTGTTAATAGTATTGTAAATCGTTGCTGCTTTTAGTTTTTTTAAATGTTTAATCCCTATCAACAATTATTAATGTGTGCAACACGTTCATGTTTAAAGTATGAACTAAATACATACTTTTTGCACACATCTTACTCGAAATATTTTTGAATATATATTCATTACCAACGAAAATACAAACCACTGCCAAACAGAAATACATATACACACAGAAAATACAAAAAAAAAAATGTTTATACTTTTCGTCTAAATTTTTACATTACGGTCCATTTTGGATCAATCATGTAAAAACCAAAAATTATGACTATAATATCGCAAACAACTTTTATTTGAACAATGTTCTCGAATAAGGACCATCTTAGAAAAAATATGTATATCACAAAAAATATGTATATCACAAAAATTATAGTGATAAATATTACAAACAACTTTTACTTTAAGAATTTTCTTCTCTTATCGTAAATAACAGATATATTTTATAAAGTAGAAAAACGGCCCTCATTAAAGTAGCCCAGATATTCCAACTATGCCTTATATCTATTCACCACAGGATGGATTAAGGCTTAAATTTAAAATTTGGTGTTTTTTTCTTCATTCGTTGTACTTTTTCTCAAATATCTCGAACACGGTACATTTTAGAAAAAATATGTACGGAATAAGCATTATAGAGGATAACAGTTTTTATAAAAACAATTTTTTTAAAAATTTGAATTTTGAACTTTTTGTCAAATTTCTGGAATACGGACCATTTTAGAAAAATCATGTGTGGGACAAAAATTATAGAGAATAATATTAGTGTGACAGTTGTATTAGAGTAATATTAGTTGTAGAAATTTCTATTCCAAGCGTAAATAACAGATATATTCCAAAAAGTAGGAAATAACCTCCCATCAAGTACGTCAAAATCTATATTTGAGCAGCAGTAGCAGGATACGTCACATCGTCATTCTTCCTGTTCAAAATCATAATGATGTACCAAAGCGGCTAATTCTACTAATCACCTCGAACGAGAAACCATCGTGTAACAAAACTGAAATTAAAAGTTCAGAATTGCACATGCGAATTGATTATTTATTATAAGTCATCCCGAAATCACTCATCACCCCGCGATCACATATCGAGCAGATTCCTATTTACGTTTGTATTGTTTATTGTTTTACGCTTGAAATATTTGCCACTGAAGATAAAATTCACGAGAAAACAGTAACACAAAAATGCGATATTAGACAAAGCGTTGTTGCCACATTGGTTGTTCAACAGTAGTAGTAATATGGTGCCTCAACAGCGAATAAGTATATGCCTTTGTAGGTGTTTAACCGTGGTAGTTAGAGTGGTGCCTCAAAAGCGAATAAGTATAAAATACAAGTTGGTGTATAACAAGGAGCGCGCTCCAGTTATAAACAGTGAGAACTAAATCCTATATAAGTATATGTTCAGCGACTTTGAAGCACCAATACGAAAATTCGCGTACAGACCCCAGATAATATTCTAATAGCATTTAGTAGGGTCTGGCCCTCATAACGTTCTGGCACCAATATGTGGTGCCACAACGAAATTTTTGGTGCCTCAACGTACGGCAAGTCTATAAATTGGTGCCACAATGAATAAATGTATATATATATATATATATATATATATATATTATTATAACACAAAATAATAAAGGCCTATTTGCATTAGAAAATATTTACTATAATTATAAGAAAAGGTTAGTAAAATATGCAAAACTTATTTGCGAAGTCTAAAAGGACGTACTTATCTACATACCCACATTTACTAAAAATATTCATTTTGTAGATACGACCTTTTATCTTATTAGGACAAACTTATGTTCCATTTAGATTTTGAAGTTATAAAATTATTTTTTTTTAATTATAGGTGGGACACCTTAGAAGAATTTGGTATATTGACTAAAAACAATTTTGAAAAATGTTTTTCGGTGGATAGGTGCCAGTGAGAACCCTATTAAAAAGCAAGAACAGCCTGATCTTATTTCAAGATTATTAATTTCTTCAATGAAACTATCCTATAATTCAACCAAAATCAATATATTTATGTCAAACATTATATTATTATCGTAACAGTTGTATTGGATTTAAGAAAATGGTATTATTAAATATAAATAAAGTATATTTAAAAAAAAGTGTAAGACTTCTTATTTCAAGATTATTAATTTTTTCAATGAAACTATCCTATAATTCAACCAAAATCAATACATATATGTCAAAGATCATAATATTATTGTTACACATTTAGTTGTATTGGATTTAAGAACAAGGTATTATTGAATATAAATTAAGTATACAGAGTGGCCCAAAAGTCTGGAAACGGCCAATTATCTCGTAAATTGCTAGACCTAATTGTACAAAATTTGGGGTACACCTATTTTGGGATACGTTGATTCCAGATTTGGTATTTGCAATGTTGCCATATTTACCGTTTCTCTTAAATTATTAGTCACTTTGGTTTTTCAAATTCATCACCCTGTATATTCAGTCATTATTGGAATCTCCTATTCAATACGAGTTTAACCATATATACCACTTTTGATTTTATGTAGTCTGGAAGGTCTTAAATAAATACAATAAATCTGGCAACGCCTAATTGTCTCAATAAAGTTTTTAATACAAAATATTTTTAACTACATTAAAACGTAACAATTGAAAGATTATAACATTTTTAACATAATGGTTACTTTATCAAGTGTTCAAAATGTGCTCCATTTGTGAGTTGACAATACCCTAATCGATGTTAGAATGCGTCTACCACATTTCTCCATGATTGTTTTATTTATTTAAGACCTTCCAGACTACATAAAATCATAAGTGTTACATATGGTTGAACTCGTATTGAGTAGGAGATTCCAATAATGACTGAATATACAGGGTGATGAATTTGAAAAACCAAAGTGACTAATAATATAAGAAAAACGCCAAATCTGGCAACATCGCAAATATGAAATCTGAAATCTGCGTATCCCAAAATAGGTCTATCCCAAATTTTGTACAATTAGGATTAGTAATTTACGAGATAATTGGCCGTTTCCAGACTTTTGGGCCACTCCGTATTTAAAACATGTGTAAGACTATTTCATTTAAGATGTACATACGAGTAATACTGCAATTGAGCAATAGATACTCTTCATTTAATTAGAGTTATTTTGGTAAGGGCAAGTTGATTCTAATCTTGAAGCAAGGCTTATTAGCTATTAGTTGAACAAGTATTACTAGAATTTCAAATCGAGACGAGTTTTACTTGCGGATATGCAAACACAACAAAGCATTGAAATAAGACCATACATCTTGAATATAGTACACCTTTTTTTCTGTGTAATAGTCCCGGAAACAGTGAATTTTTTTCGTACTTATTTTCCCAGTCGATGTATATGAACTGTTCTTAGTGACAAAAAACAAAATTTTTGAGTCTGGCTAAAATTTATGGATGGTTTCGAAATATAAAAAACAGTACAAGTCCACTTATTTTCCAAGTCATCAATATTTTACATTCACTAAAGTTGAACATAAAGTTTATAAAAATAGCAGACTGGCTTATCTCAGATGGCGGAAAGTGAGTGGCTGAAAATTTTTCAGTTTTTCACCTGCCAGATATATTATTAATGCTATTTTTTTTTAACTTATTTCAGTAGGTATATCTATTACTACTAGCACTATTTTTATCACTGGGAAAAAAGGGCCGTGTTTTCGTGTGTTCTGACACACCCCTAAATATATATAAATTTTGCTTGGAATTACTAACCCTACAATTTTATTTATGCGTTTGCTGACTGGGAAAATAAGTACCCAAAATCGTCACTAGACTATATACAGCAAAGATTTAATAATTTTTTAATACATTTCGAATTTCGTATTTTGGTTTTTTCTGAAAATGGATTTTATTAATTTAGATGACAGCATGGACATAGCGTAAAAGAGATCATGTGGTGATTTTTTGTTATGCTGGCTCGAGATGTTTATGACCTGTAATATTGTAGCTTACTAATAATATTGAAGAAAATGATGATGGTGATGGCGGTAGTGAATAATAGGAATTTGTTTGTAGGTTAGGTATTTTTTTGCTATTATTTTGATATTATTTTGATATTATCTGTAGATTGAACATATAATTTTTAATCAGTGCAAATATGAAAAAATATTTTTTTTGAAGAAGTAAATTTGAGGCCGCCGATGTTTTTTTTTCATTTTGTTTTTGGAAGGCATGTTTTGTTATGAAAAACATTTTTTTTTTTGTTCAAATATGGTTTCTCTATAAACTGCATTTTTCCAAGTTTACTTCATAGACATTAAGGAAACATTTTACCATATTAAAACAAAAACACCATTCAAATATATAATAAATACATCTGTTTTGATTTGTCATCATCCTATGATTTTTCGTTATAATTCAAATCTTTTTTAATTATTTAACGTTTACGTCAACATACCAAGTTTTTAAATATTGCCTACGACATTTTTTCCAATCGTAAATTTATATAAATATCCCAAAAAAGTTTGCAAATAGAGTAACACTACGAATAACAATATTTAAATGAAGTTTAAAATGTATCAAAATGAATTTTAGCCCTTTAAGTTCCAAGTTATTCATTTAAAATCATCTTTGGATCTTCCTAGACAACCTTCATCCCAACATTTTATTCTAAACTAAACCCTCGTCGCGCAAATATTCACTCGTTACGTAAAATAAGGCATTTCGTAACTGGTTTCATAAATAGCTATTATTTAGTTTATCAAAAAAAGGGAAAATTACTTAATACGGTTTCTTCAAGTTCCCCAAGCCAGTAGCGATTTGCCATTACCAGATGAACTATAACTCTAAATCTTCTTAGAGCTCTTTTATGCCTGGCGAGTTTTTCCTCCGGGGTTAGAGACATTCTCAATCTTAGATCCATTTTTAGTTTTTTGAAATAATATTTTATATAAATTGGAACTGATGAAATAAATAATTCAACAAAATATGACAGTGACAATTTGTTGATACTTTTTAAGGTCTGTTCTCTTGCATCGAAAGTGTAGCACTAAGTTACACAACTTCTAAAAATATGATTCCATTCGTACAATTTGTATAAATGGAACGATATTTTCAGAAGTGGTGTAGCTCGATTCGACTCGAATTTGATATCAAACTCCATAAAAGCAATTCCGTTTAACAAGTAGTCCATTCGATATCAAATCGTTAAAGTTTGATTATTTTCACATTAGGTATGACCTGTCAATGAGGTTAAATAACAAGCCTGTGGCTTAAAATTTTAGGGCAGAAAGAAATTTAGTTTCCAGGGCATACCTATGTCTCTGACAATGCCTTTTCTGGATAATCTATTGTGCAACAGAGGTCTTTTATATTCATAAGGTATTTTTTTAGCGAGTGTTTGGTTTAAAATATTTTCGACTGTTTAAATTAGTTTAAACAGTTTAAATTTTAGCGATGCAACTATGACGTCACGTACGAAATATTTTAAACCAAATCTAGAGTTTTTGAATCAGTCGGAGTCATATGGTTCAATAACGGTTGACACAAGATATTGATTTTGGCTGTTGTATGTTGTTTTGCTCTATTCCGTTTTTGAACATTTTGATATATTTGACGTTTTGTTGATTTTTATTGATTTTTGATAACTTCATACTATGCTTCGTACATACATTATGTAATTCATATTCATACATTAATTGATTATAATGAATACTATTATGTTTGTTTATTTTCAAAGAACAGTTTATTTATTAATAATTTATTTAAACACTTATTTATTTTATAACACTACTATTCTAATTTATACATATTTCGAATGTCTTTAAACTGTTCACTATTTCTCTTCACTGTCCATATATAACTGATTGACTGCGTTCATCCACCAATATTTATATACAAAAAAATGATGGTGAAGGTTGTAGAATTTTCTTCGCCAAAACTAGAAACATTATCACGTTCTACCTGGAAAGATCTCGAAAGCACCTCTGCCATAGTCGTCACATATGTTTGGTCTTAAGGGGTTTAATTATGTATGATAATCGGACAAGTTGAGCCTCAAAGGCCAAATAAGACAGAGAGGGACTTGGAGGATTAGAGCATGACTGAATAATGAAATGGCTCACATTACATTGCCCCCTCCTTAAAAGATAGTTCCTCCTGGAACTCTTACGAAACTAAAAGGGAATGGTTGTATCTGCAACTGAACCCTCTTTTACAATTTCCAGTTGCATGGAAGTAACAAGGGACTGTCTTTGTTTTAACCTGGACACTGGGCGAATGGCTAGAGACCAGTATTTGGATTCCGGTATCTTGAAAGACTACTTCCACCATGTTCCTAATGATCCTCCAATCCAGCTGATTTCCTTCTAGTTTCGGCATGGCTAGCTTCTGTACATTGGATTCCAGTACGTGCTCCCTTAAACCAAGTAATGCTTCCCATACATCATGATAAGTGGATCGATCTCGGAAGGTGTTCTTCGTTATCAAATAGAAAAGGTAGCGTGATTCGTCTTGAAGTTTCAAGGCTTTTCCAGGGGCTGGTAACTGACGTTGAAGTTCTAGCAGTCGACCAAACTTCTTACAAAACACATATGCCAATCCTCGCGTGTCGTTCATGCTGGCGGAAGTACTATGGACCAGCGAGTAGTCTTTTGGAAGCGAGAGCAGATCTTGTTGTTGCTAGGTCGTAACACCATGTCTTGCTTTTCCGGTACCTCCATATGCACCCATAAATTCTTCAAAGACAAGGTCAGGTGTTTCTTGGAGCTGGTTTGCTTCTTCTTCCTCGTCATGGTCACCCTCAAATGGCGCCAGCCGGTTTTGGTGCACTACCTTCGGTTTACTGTTCGGGATCTTACCTATACGGTAAATGACATCATTGATTCTTTTCTTGATGAGATACGGACCCCAAGACCTTTGAAGCTTCGGAGAATAATCCTTTTGTCTTTTTGGGTTATGGAGCCAGACTTTGTCGCCTTCCTTGAAACCTCCCTCCATGGCTTGGGTATCATATCGCTTCTTCATTCTGTCGATGGCGATTTGAAGATGCGAGCGAACCAATTCTTGCATATCGTCCATTCTTCTTCGTAACTGGATCACATAATCTTCACCAGCTACATCTTCTCCAGGTCGGCATCCAAACTGAAGGTCGCACGGTAGTCTCATCTCACGCCCAAACAGGACCTTTGCTGGTGTTTAGCCTGTTGATTAATTGACAGCGGATCTATAAGCCATTGCAAAGAGCGAAAGATACTGATCCCAATCTCGCTGATGGTTTGAAACCACTTTTGACAAATATTTTCCAATGGTCTTATTCATTCGCTCTACCATTCCATCAGATTGTGGGTGCAATGCTGTGGTTCGGGTTTTCTTCATGCCCTAGTCTGTCACAGATTCCACGGAAGAGTTGGCTTTCAAATTTCTGCCTTGGTCACTGTGGATCTCCAAGGGCACTCCAAATCAACAGATGAACTCTTTAATCAACACATCTGCAACAGTTGCGGCCTCTTGATTTGGAATGGCGTAGACTTCCACCCACTTCGTGAAGTAATCCATCACCACCATCATGTATTTATTACCATTCTCGGTCATGGGGAATGGTCCAGCAATATCTAAGGCGATCCTCTCAAATGGGCTACCAACGTTGTATTGCTTCATGGGAGCCTTCCTTTTCGCTGAGGTCCATTACTCATAGCACAGCTGGTACATTTCCTACACCAGTCCTTAACATCATCGGAACTATTCATCCAATAAAACCTTTCCGCAACTCTCTGAAGGTTTTCCACCGAGATGTCCTCCTGATGGACTGTCGTGTAACTGACGAAGTACTTCGGCTACTCTACTCCTTGGAACGACCAACTGTCTTCTATTCTCGGAACCATCATCATTTTCAAGTACTCGCTTTAATAAGCCATCTTCCAGGATAAAGGAGCCCCATTGAGCCAAATACGACTTAAGTACTGGAGAGAGATTAGATACTTCTTGCCAAGTAAGTCGACGATTTTCCTCTTTCCATTGTCGTATCTTCTTTAGAACGGTATCGTTTTCCTTGTTCTTCCCTAATTTTAGCAGGGGCCCCACTCATCGTTGACTACCGTTGTTCTTAGTAGTCCACTTTCTTTGGATTCCGTTTGTTGCAGTGGGAGCACTCTGCTGGACACGGTCTTCTAGAAAGAGTATCGGCATTTCTGTGGCTAATTCCGGCTCTATGTCCGATCTTAAAGTCGTACTCCTGAAGTCGCTCAATCCATCTGGCGATTTGACCCTCCGGATTTTTGAACTGCATCAACCACTTAAGAGCAGCATGATCGGTACGGATTAAGAATTTTCTTGCATATAGGTATTGGTAGAAGTGTTGCACACATTTCACAACTGCCAGGAGATCTCTTCTAGTGACGCAGTAATTTCGCTCAGGTTTCGAGAGCACTTTACTAAAATAACCCAGTACTCTTTCTTTTCCCCCTTGAATCTGTGAAAGCACTCGTCCAATTCCCACATTACTGGCATCAGTATCCAGGATAAATTCTCCCTCTGGTAGTGGGTAGCCTAATATTGGCGCTGTTATTACATGCTTCTTTAAAGTTTCGAAGGCAGTTTGGCAGTCTTCGTCCCAGCAGAATTCTCTTGCTTCTTCAGTGAGTCGCGTTAATGGTTTAGCAATATCTGCAAACTTCTTTATGAATCTTCGGTAGTACGTACACAGCCCAAGAAAACTTCTTATTTGGTGTTTATCCTTTGGTTGTGGCCACTCTTTGATAGAAGCGACTTTTTCCTTATCTACAGCCACGCCATCCTTGCTAACTACATGACCCAGGTAATTAACTTTATTTTGAAATAGTTGGCACTTCTTGGGGTTTAGCATCAGTTGGGCAGCTTGGAGTCTTTTAAAAACATCTAAGTTTTTTAGATGTTCATCAAATGTCTTCCCCAAGACTATGATGTCGTCTTAATACATCAGGCATGTTTTCCAGGATAACCATCTCAATACATTTTCCTTAAGTCTTATGTCGCGGGGGCATTACATAATCCAAATGGCATAACATTGAATTGCCACAATCCAGATCCGGTGGTAAAAGCTGTCTTTTCTTTGTCTACTGGATCCATTTCCACCTGCCAGTATCCAGATTTCAAGTCTAAGCTATAGAATAGTTTACTTCCGGCCAATGTGTCCAAGGTGTCGTCGATACGAGGCAGAGGGTAACTGTCTTTCTTGGTAACATTGTTCAAGTGACGGTAATCCACGCAGAACCTCGTAGTTCCATCCTTTTTCTGGACCAGGACTACCCGAGAGACCCATGGGCAGGTAGAAGGTTCTATCACCCTGTCTTCCTTCATTTCCTGAACAATCCTTTCAGCTTCCTCTCTCTTGGCCTTTGGTAACCTTCGAGCTGATTGACGAATCGGCCTGGCGTCACCAGTGTCAATTTTGTGTTTTACAATAGAAGTTCTTCCTGTTTTTCCTCCTTTTGGTACAATAATGTCACGATATCGTCGAAGAAATTCCTTTATTTTCTTCTTCTCTGATTGATTCAGAGATTGACCATCAACTGCAATCATTTGCTCGAATTTGTCGTTGGAATTATCAGAAGTTGTTGTCTGACGAATTATGGAAGTTACTGGTACACAAGTTCCGATTCTGGTCTCTTTCTTGATGGTAATCGGGTGATCATTAACGTTTATGAGACGGACTGGAATTTCTTTAGCAGTCGTGACCAACCCCTTTCCGATCAGAATGCCTCGTCCAACCTCTTCATCGTGGTTCCAAGGTTCCACCATGACAGGTGTTCCTTCTTCCATAGTTTCTTGAAGCCGTGCTACTATAACGGTTTCACTTCTGCCAGGTACCACCGTATCCTCCTGTAAAGAAACTGGCACGGTACTGTCCCTATATGGATGTAGGAATACCTCTTCGGCACCAACTTTGATCACTCTGTTTTTAAAGTCCAACTGGAAACCATGTAAGTTCATTACATCCATTCCAAGAATCACATCTTCTTCAATATCAGCGACAATAACAGTATGAGTGA